TTTTAAAGTGAGTGTGGTTTCATCAAATGACACACTGACCCTGCATCATATAAAGCCCTTTACTCACACTGGGGACAGCTCAGACAGCCACAGCTTCTTGTTCTCACACTCTGTTGTCAGTCCAAAGGAAGGAATATGAGCAAAACCCCTTCAGACGTACTGAAGGTAGAAGCAACAATCAGAGCTGAAGGTAGAAACAACAATCAGAGCTACTGTCATCACACTATCATAAGTCGTATAATATCAGGGAAAGTCTCAGTAGGTCCCTTTTCTTTAAGTGAGGTCAAAGATAGAAAGACAATGAAAAGGTGCCAAGGCTTGTCATGGAAGAATGATTTTAGCAGCTGTGTCCTTGAGCCTCCTAATGACGGGATGCATTGCTGTCATCCAAGCCAAACAGCAACAGGACATAATCTTTAATGTATGTGATCATGATGGTCATCTCAGAACAATGTGCATTTTTCTCATTCAATAGGTTCAGGAAAGAGTTATAAGCAAATTGACTTTTAGCCATTTGAAATATCATCTCTAAATAGTACTTCATTATTTTTATTTTGAAAATAAAGTTCTTGAGGAAAACATAGTAGCCACGCAAATTTAGCTGTTCTTTATATGTATTTTCTTATAAATATCAATGTATCTCAGAGGAGCATAACGTGAATCTTGATACTGCACTGTAATGACCAACATGAATGCTCAGTGTTCAGAAGTGACAGAAAAAACTGTGTCAATCAAAAGCTGCAGGAAGGGATAGATCTAGAGCCAAACATGAAGCTTTTATTGAAAATGTTTTACCTCTTTTCTTTAAACAAATAGTTAGCTCAAAGCTATGTTACAAGAGAATAAAAGGCATCATATCAGCACTGTAGAGCAAAATTACAGCCTTAATATTAGCAAGTATGCCCTAAGTGCCACAGGGTAATATAAGGATTTTTATGTATAAAGGATAACTGCAAAAAAACTGCTGTGCAATGACAGGCTTCATATCACAAAAGCAACAGAAGAATTTAAGTGTGGCTACACCAAAAAGTACAGCAGTGGTAATAAGGAGTATTGGGAAGAATGACTTAAATTAGCTCTGTAGAACCTCACAGAAAATATTCAAGTTTTGGGCAGTGCCTGAGCCTTAGGGAAAAGTTCAAATTTTCTTCTAATCCAGTTCTAGAAGAAAGTTGCTATTTGGTTCTAATTATTAAATTAAACGTGATTTTTGTTTGTTTCAGTCCTTCTCAGATTGTCCATGTTGTAAACATTTTACTGGTAACATTATTGTGCTTTATGTAAACACAGAGAATTTTCTTAACTTGAGCCAGATCACATTTAAAACAAGCACTATGTAACAAGTACATCCCTAATTAAACAGAGGACAGTTGGCAACACCATCGCAATACATAGAAATCTTGTGCCATTTCCCGTCTGTTTTTATTGAGCATGAAATCCACAACAGACTTCTTGCCACCTAGGTAGAAATGAAGAAGACATACTCTCACTCTTACTCTTCCCTGCAGATGTACATAGCTGGTACTGTACAGAGCCACAGCATTGACTGTGGGACTAAGTAGCAGTTTGTGTTAACCCACACTTCCAATATGCAGCCCACACCAAACCAGGAGCTTCTATAGGAGATCCTGAGGCAGTTTAGCACGCATTGTAAAACAGATCGCTAACACTGATCTTAGAAAATCCATTACGGAAGAAGTTCTTCGCATTAGCAGCTGGTTTTTGTTGCCACAGAACATCACGCTTCACTCTTTGAAAAAACAGCAACATAAAGAAAGAATGAAAGTAGTTTATACAGTGGAATCAGGGCAAGTACAGTTGATGTAGTCAACGTTTTATATGACATGTTCAGGTAACAACTCCACTAGAACCATTTTTTCCTACAAAGAACAACATAAGAAAGAAAAGAGAAAAGATCAGAAAGAAATAATGAAGTCAAGACACAAGAGGAAAAAGGCTGAAGTAAAAAATGCAGGAAGCTGGCTGCACAGTGGGCTGACAGACCTGGGTTGGTGTGATTGTACTTAAACATACTGTCTGCAGTGACCAAGAGAACACCATCAGTACAATAAATTATCTAATTCTTCACTGCAAACACTTTACACTATTTAATGAATGACTGCTTCCATGTTCCCACGACTGTTCTGCCTTTGTTAATTAGGCACAACATTTGACCAATATTTTTACACATATATTCAGATATGGAACTTTTCAGTAATTGCTTTTGCAAACAAAACAATTATCTTGTTCATCTTTCTCTCATGCACCCAGAAAACATGAAACTAGAAGGAAATATCATTTCATCTTCACATTGTGTTTATATTCATCTCAACCAGTTTGTCACTAATTACAGCCTAATTTGTATTTGACTAAGGCATCTCTTCTTGGTGGGTGACCTTATCTTGACAGGAGTATCTGAAAAGTGAGTGAGTCCAGTTTTATCTCAGTGACATGCTTTAATTAAAATTTGTCTTTGTCTGGCTTTAACATGAATCTCATTTTCAATTCTATCTTTTTGCACTGGAGCTAAAAAGCAGTGATATCCAGTGCTTTACTCTCTGTGAAAGACAACGATCAGTTCACTTTCAACATTTCTAAACAGACAGAACTCTCAGTTGCTCATCATAAAGCATGGTGCTTTTCCTCTGATGTTTAAGACTTCGTCGTGTAGCAGCATCCACAGTGCCTACAGTACCCTATTATGCAGAAGCAAAATAAAAAATTCTAGTTTTATTGCCCCTACATATAAGTCTGAGGATGAGACTAGTTCACCTTTTGCCACAGAGTGCTTTCTTATGAACTTGGTTTGTATCAATATGTAAGAAATCTATGTTTATGGCCAGGTCATTGATTAAAATCCTAAATAGCATCAGGCCTAATATGCTCACTTCTGGAACTTCTTTATTTGGTTGTTTTTTCTCTGATTGCTACTTTTTGCCACTTTGTAAATCATTTAACATGTATTTTATTACTATTTCATAATGTTGATTTTTGTAACTGTAATATGATGCTTAATGTAAAGTTTATAAAACTTAATGTATCTACATGCTTTTATTTATCAAACTCATTACCTTAGTAAAGAAAATCTAATTTACTTCATATGGTCTAAATTTCCATCCAGGCCTATTAGAATCATAGAAACATAGAATCATAGAATAGTTAGGGTTGGAAAGGACCTTAAGATGATCTAGTTCCAAACCCCCTGGCATGGGCAGGGACACCTCACACTAAACCATCTCACCCAAGGCTTTGTCCAACCTGGTCTTGAGCACTGCCAGGGATGGAGCATTCACAACCTCCCTGGGCAACCCATTCCAGTGCCTCACCACCCTAACAGCAGAGAACGTCTTCCTTATATCCAATCTAAACTTGCCCTGTTTAAGTTTTAACCCATTGCCCCTTGTCCTGTCACTACAGTCCCTAATGAAGAGTCCATCCCCAGCATCCTTTAGGCCCCCTTCAGATACTGGAAGGCTGCTATGAGGTCTCCACGCAGCCTTCTCTTCTCCAGGCTGAATAGCCCCAACTTTCTCAGCCTATCTTCATAAGGGAGGTGCTCCAGTCCCCTGATCATCCTCATGGCCGTCTTGTGGACCTGTTCCAAGTGTTCCACGTCCTTTATATGTTGAGGACACCAGAACTACACAAAATACTCCAAGTGAGGTCTCACAAGAGCAGAGTAGAGGGGCAGGATCACCTCCTTTGACCTGCTGGTCACGCTCCTTTTGATACAGCCCAGGCTACAGCTGGCTTTCTGGCCTGTGAGTGCAAACTGAAGCTGGATCACGTTCAGTTTCTCATCTACCAACACCCCCAAGTCCTTCTCTGCAGGGCTGCTCTGAATCTCTTCTCTGCCCAACCTGTAGCTGTGGCTGGCATTGCTCCAACCCAGGTGTAGGACCTTGCACTTGGCATGGTTAAACTTCATCAGGTTGGCATCAGCCCACCTCACAAGCGTGTCAAGGTCCCTCTGGATGGCATTCCTTCCCTCCAGGGTATCAACCAAACCACACAGCTTGGTGTCATCAGCAAACTTGCTGAGGGCTCACTCAATCCCACTGTCCATGGCAGCGACAAAGATGTTAAACAAGACCGGTCCCAACACTGATCCCTGGGGGACACCACTCCTTACTGGTCTCCAGCCAGATATTGAGCCATTGACCACAATTCTTTCTGTGCGGGCATCCAGCCTAATTTGCCGAATTCACATCTCCACTTCCATTGACTCTGCAAATGAGCTGAAGGCTATTCACCTAATCATTAAGACAGTGGCTTGCTGTAAGAACATTACAAAGAAGAAAGAAGAAAATGCTGGTTTTGTTGCTTATGAATCATTAATAATGAGTCACACAGGAAATTTGCTAGCTTATCCAGCAAAATAATCAAGCAATGAATTACTGAATGTCTCTGAAAATTTGCAGTTAATTTTCTTTTTGCCTAGCACTTGTTACTTTTATCAGTGATCTGGAGATAGAAAACTGATAGTTTTCTGTTCCAGGCCTTTTTTCTTATGTATAATCCTTTACCTAAACCACCCCAGACAGAAGTTCATCTGACAGTTTCCACATATTTAGTTATGGAAATCTGGCTGCTTCTTCAAGTAGCCTGCTTTAGATTCTTAGTATCTAATATAAATGGTCTTTGCTACAAATTAATCTAACTAATTCATGTTCTGCCTTTTGCAGGGGTGAAAACACTTGATCACCATCTTGTTTGCAATAACCTCTTATGCATTTGAAAGCTGTCATCATATCCTTCTTCATTCTTTTCTTTTCCAGACTAAACAAATGAAATTATTTCACACTTGCTTTGGAGGTCATGTTTTCTATACAGTTTGTAATCCATATTATTTACGAAAAATTATCTCCAGTTCTGTGTCTTTCAGAAAAAGTGTCTCCTCCCCCCAAAAAAGTGCTCAACAACAACAGGTAGCACAAAATAAAGACATTCTAAACCTGAGAAGAAACCTTCATTTACTAACCTTCTGGAATGACATTTACCTCTTTTATAAGTGAATATTCACTTGCACCTGCATCCCAAACTTGTTTCTTGCATTTGCCCAGCCAATCCTATTCATGTACAATAGGTAAGATGTTTTTCTACCATATGTGAGCTCACTTTATATCACTTTCACTGAGACCATATGCTTCTAACTTGCTTGATCACGGAACAGAGGACTGCAGTGAAAGCATCCAACTAGTGCAGATAAATATTAACCCACACTCTGATAATTCCCATCAAGAGCCAAAATTCATATAAACTAAGAATCTCCTTTCCCTGCCCTCCAACCTTACTCTGCAGACTCCTATCTACCTCCTATCTACCTACTCCTGCTCTAACAATTCAGTTAACAGGTCTGCTTCTTGGGATCCAGAAAGTAAGTCAAGCTAAATTGGCTGGGCATTCATATAAACCTTATTTAGGCAAGCGTTTACTTTAGTTAGCCTATTCTAACATGTAACACATGTAACAAGTTTACTTTATTCAAACACTTGCCAAGCCTCAGTATAAGACAGCTAACTGCAACTATAATAATCTAAAGCATCCTACAATCCCAGATATCATGTTTTAAATTTCTGGAAATAGGTAGCTAGCCTCTCTGCTGTAACAGGCTATTCTCTGAATGTTACTTCTAGAAAAAAACAATAACATCTGCCATGGTTGTGAGCAGCAAATTAATTGAGGTCAGGACTAGAAAGTCTTTTACGTTTTGATTCTCTGCCTTAGGACAGGAAGGATCAGGATGCAGCATACTTATGAAATGCACCCTATATGGCTAGTGAGTGTGCCCATGGTTGTTATTATGTTTAACAAGAAAATACAAATCACTGGACAAAAAAAAATCTGTCAATAATTCCATACTGATCTCATGAAAAATATGAGAAATTTCAAGATGAAATAAAGTAACTCAATAGCAAAGATATAGCTGTAAATAGTCAGAGGTATATGTGTTTTTTTTGAAAACACAGGTATACCATATCACACTAGTATTGTGCATCAATTATATCACATTATACATAGAATCATCAAATCACAGAATCGTTTGGGTTGGAAAAAACCTTAAGATCATTTAATTCCAACCCCATTGCCGTGGGCAGGGACATCACACACTAAACCATGTCACCCAAGGCTCTGTCCAACATGGCCTTGAACACTGCCAGGGATGAGGCATTCACAAGTTCTCTGGGCAGCCCAATTCCAGTGCCTCACCACCCTCACAGTAAAGAATTTCTTCCTTATATCCAATCTAAACTTACCTTGTTTAAGTTTTAACCCATTACCCTTTGTCCTATCATGATCATCCCGGATGAAGAGTCCCTCTCCATCATCCTTGTAGGCACCATTCAGATACCAGAAGGCTGCTATGAGGTCCCCACACAGCCTTCTGTTTTCCAAGCTAGGCTGCAAGCACACACTGAAGCCAGCTCATATTATCTCTCATCAACCAGCACCCCCAAGTCCTTCTTCGCAGGGCTGCTTTAAATCTCTTCTCTGCCCAACCTGTAGCTGTCCCTGAGATTGCCCTGACCAAGGTGTAGGACCTTGCACTTGGCTTGGTTTGCTTCATGAGGTTGGCATTGGCCACCTCTGAAGCTGTCAACGTCCCTCTGGATGGCATTCCTTCCCTCCAGCATATCAACCAAGCCACACAGCTTGGTGTCATTGGCAAACTTGCTGAGGGTGCACTCAATCCCACTGTCCATGTCACTGACAAAGATGTTGAACAGAGTCTGTCCCAACACTGACCCCTGAGGGACATCACTCATTACTGATCTCCAGTTGGACATTAAGCTGTTGACCACAACGCTCTCTGCGTAACCATCCAGCCAGTTTTTTATCCAGTGGGTAGCCTATCCATCAAATTGATGTCTTTACAGCTTAAAGACAAAGATGTTATGGGGAACAGTGTCAAATGCTTTGCACAAGTCCAGGTAGATGACATCAACTGCTTTGCCCCTATTCATCAGTTCTGTAGGCCCATCATAGATGACCACCAGATTGGACAGGCAGGATTTGTCCTTAATGCAGCCGTGTTGACTGCCAGAAACCACCTCATTGTTTTTTATGTGCCTTAGCATGCTTCGCAGGAGAGTCTTTTCTGATCCTGACAGGACAGCGGTGAGACTGACAGGTCTGTAATTTCCTGGGGCTTCCGTATTTGCCTTCTTGAAATTGTGGTTATATTTCCCTTTTTTGCAGTCATCAGGAGCTTCACCTGACTGCCATGACTTTTCAAATATGACGGACATAGGTTTTGTATGGTTCATAAGAACAGCTATGAACTTCTATAGTTCATAAAGGCACAGCTTCCCCTCTACAATATCCATGTTGTTCTCTTCCAGTTTTACTTTCTTTGTGCTTGCCAGTATATGTGTATCCATTTGCCTTGGAAATAAACAAAGTAAATACTATTTTTGACAAAAAATGGGATGGGGGGATGTCTTCATTTTCTGTTGTTTAGTGATAGACTATTCCGTTTTAGTCTAAAAATATACTTGGGAGATTCGCTTAACTGATTGAATAAAAACAGTAAACCATCAGCTGCAAGCTGTTTAATTTTTGAAGATTTATAGATAAAAAGGAGGCAGACTCCAATTTTGCAAGACATATTTTAGAAAGCACTACAGACCACCTGGGATATTTTTTATGCCACTGTTCCAGTAAAACAAAAGTTTAAGATATTCACGATACAGGGTGGCAGGAGAGATTGGGAGTGAGACAGATCTTTAAAACACATTAGATTGTGTTTTGGTGATAAACGAGTCATATGAAGATTAGCTTATCTTTGAGACTAGAGATCTAGAGAGGCTCTGATGCTATGGTGCATGCTAAGAGCAGGTTGCTGAATATAAACAGTGCTTTACCGAAACTTGCTTGATGCTGAAACTAATATGCCAAGGCTGGTGCCCTGATGTGATTTAAATGTATATATTTAATTACAAAATGGCTAGTTAGGTTTGCAACTATTTAATCCTGAATCTACTGCCTCAAAAAGCATGTTTTTCAGTTTGTTTTCAGCATGCTCTTAGAGTCATATGAGCACCGCAGTGCTAGGGAGCCTCAGACAAGGAAAAAAGGTAAAATAGTATGAAAACTTGATTTTATTTGGCTTTGACAGAATGAAATTATCTTTCCAGCCTAAGCTGGGGAGAACATGAGAAACCCCATATTAAAAGTATTATTACAGCCTTATGCTCCACTTCTGAAGGGCAACTGTTGAGTGCTAGATCCTCATGTCACCTCAAACCAAAAGCTATCCCTCTTTGAAATGTTTACTATAGAAGACAGGAAATCTGTTTGCAATCTTAACCACAGACCAAACTTTTCAAAGATGCCTCTAGTGTCTAAGCATAAAGTCAATCTTGTGGGTAAGGCACTGGACTTGTATTCTGACCTCAAATCCCAGCTGCCAGAGTGGCTATATATGACCTTGGCAAGTCATGTAGAGACAGATGTAAGAAAAAATGGCTAAAATAGAGATTCAGATGTCTGTGGCAGATGATAGCTGCCTGCATCAAAATTTATAATCTGACAACCTTCACTTGGTTGCTTCTTGAACCCTGTTGTCATTTTTCTCTTTTTGGTCAAGATCCTTTACACTGTATGTGTTTTATCTCTTATTCTGATCCACCATGTCAGTTTCAAGCTCTCTCCTAAGCATAATTTTCTCCTTTGTGAGTTATTAATGGGAGATGAGGATTTGGGAAGCTGATCTCACATCAGCAAAACCAAATCAACAAAAATTATGGGTGCTGTCTTCCACAACACAGTGGCTGGCCAGGCTTTTTTTCTATCTGTCACTTAGAGCAGTGTTGTCAGAATGTTGATAAGCATGATCTCTTCGAGAATCCATTTACCCTTGTGGAACAAACTCACTTTCTCTGTCCATCATATTGCAGTTGCAATTACTAAGGAAGAAACTAAGTATTTTTCATTTAATTGGTTAAATTCAGAGTAACAGCTGGTTGTAAATTTCTGCTTTTGGTACTTCACAATAGTTACCTGCCTCTAGCTCGTATATAAATTCTACAGTGCCCTTGACCCATGTAGGACCATTTGGTGATTAACTTGCTGCTTAGACTAAACTACAGGTTATATCATGTGCCAAGGAAGAGGAAAATCCATGTTCAAGCTTGTTCTGCTTTATTGCCCTTCACGTAAAAGCAAACAAACAAACAAAACCAACAAAAAAAAAAAGAAAGAAGAAAAACAACAACAACAACAAAACCCAAACAAAAAAAAAAAAATAAAAACACATCTTGTATGGAATCACTGTTTTTAGGGTTCCCAAGAATAAACCCCCAGGAGGTTACCTCTATACAGGTTAACACTAAACTCTGCAGAAATTTATCTGAGCCTGGAATGTGCGTCCTGAGAAGTCAGCTGTCACCACATTAGCTACAACAGAAGTCTAGGAATCCAGCTTGGACTAGATACTAACTTTCCTACAGCTAAAGGTGGACCATACCATCTTAAGACTATTATCTCTTCAGGAAAAGTACTGACTTTATTATGTGCCATTTCCTTCCACAAAATGTCCATAATCTTGACAGAAGCTTCTGTGGCAACAAATACCAATTAAGGTGTTCTTAATATGATTTCTTTAAGTTTATACATTATTTTTAGCAATCCATTTTAATAGCAAAAAGCACTGATGCACGTTTCCTGTTCTTTGCCCACTACAAAAAGAAAATACCTGCTAATTTTTTTTTTTCGTTGGTCCAACTGGAACCACTGGTATGAGTTAAGTCCTCAGATCAAGATGAGGTTAGTTTACCAAAACACAGTTAAGCGTAATTCATGAATCTCATACTACAGCTCTAAATCGCAGCTCCTCCATTATGACCCCAAGGAGGTCTGTATAGGGTTTATAAGCCCTTGTCTTTTACAAGCCCGTCTTCAAATGCTGTGTTTGTTACAGTTGTTGAATGCTTAGGAATAGAACATTGTTACTGGCTGTTCATCCCAATTCAAAATACATGACATTAAACATTTTCAGCCAAGCATAGCATCTTGAGGATGTTTCACATGTTTGGCCGACAGAGAAGAGGTTCTAACACTGTTGCAATTACATCCTCTACAGATGGCACATGCTGTATGGATTACAGTGTTGCTTGTTCTGTTGCTGCAGGCTTGGTTTGAATTGTCTGTGAAACACTGGAACCATAAATCAACTTTTCTCCATCTTAAAGAAAAAATACTTCAAGGGGAATTTCGTCCAAAATGGCAAGGGTCAGGGAAGCTAGGGTGACTTTGCATCAAGGATAGAAGGCCTGAATAACACATGAGGAAGCATCCTGAATAAAACGATTTTTTTCTCCTGACCTCATATATCAGAAAGAAAATCTCCATTACAACAAGCTATAATGGAAGGCAGACTATATTAAACCATGTCTTGTATAGATCTCCAGAAGTTGCAATTGGCCTTGAGAATAGCTTTACCAGCATCAGTGGAAGGCTGAGCCAAACTCTGTATCTAACATACTCTTTAAAAGCAAAC